TTAGTTAAATATTAAATTATTGATAAACTGTGGTAGTTGAATAGGCTTCACGAATAGGCTGAAGATACTAGCTGAAAGGACATACTGCTTACAAGCCAGCTGAATCGTCCACGTGATTCGGGGGGGGGGGGGTCCAGCGTCAATATTTTAAGGTGTGTATCGGCGATGTTCATAGCAGACTTGAGGAATGAATGGGACACGCACTAATTCTAACAAAACAGGACAGTTGAAAACACATTGCTATTTGAATTAAATAAATATATGTTTGCTTTTTTATTACAGTAGAGTGGACAAAACATTCGAATTCGCAACTAGGTTCTGAGTAGTTTAATGATATTGTTCACAACCAGGTGTGGACGTAACCGCTTCAATAATAGGACCTTTGTATGAGGTTTGGGTAAAAGGGTGAATTTCTATAGATGACTGTAGAATAGATATGTGTCATAAAAACACTATAAAACGCGATGTTTGTGTTATTATTGTTATTTCCAACGCTTTCAATTTCGCGAACTCTGATATTTGTGTAGTTGTCCAATCGCTAGTCACACTAGAGTTCTCTGTTTGTAGTCACCGGGGTCTTTCAAGAACGATTTTATCCGTATTTCTTTTGTGAGCGTGATTTTGCAGTGTGTGTATGTGTATTTTTGTTGACTGGATGTCTGTCATTTTTACTATAAGTACATGTACATATTGACTCTACTAGATTCATTCCATTATGTCTTGTAGGCCTCCTTTCTGAACTCGGGAATTAATAATAATTGAAACCGTCAAAGTCAAGGCGGTGTATATCGTGTTCCACGTAGTCATAAGACCAAACGCCGACACCATGGCAACATTACATGGCCAATGTATATCACCAGCGCGGTTCTACGGAGCCAACACTCGTCACCATAGCGACACTGTAAGACAAGAGCGCGTATTCATAACGACGTTATAAGATCTTGACGTCAACATACATTAGGTAGTATTCGAGATATACAAAACTTTTATTAGATCCCACATGAACTAGTTTTTGAATTGAGACTTATACCTTCTACTATTATTGTATTTTATAAATTACTCTTTACTAGATTCCACCAAGAAAACAATAGTTTATCATTAAAAAGTTGTACAATGTATTTAAATTTCGTCTGTTTATGATTCTCCGAGGTTTAGGTTCATTCTGCATAACCTAGTCAAAACCTATCCGCCCAGAACGCCACGTTTCATAGCTTATAGCTTATGCGCACGTAAGTTTTGTATTTTGGAGGGCGTTGGGGAAGGTATAATAAATGTGAATGGGCGAGCCTGTGCAAATACGGATAACGGGATATAACAAAACTAAAAACTGAACAAAACAAATATCCGTTAAACCACTGGTACGTAATAGTTTTCTCGCTTTCGTCACGATTGGTGTGTCTAAATCAAAAATCCCATAAAAAATAGGTCGACCTGTGGGTAGGTCAATTCACTGGGCATTCGCTAATGGATGCGACTTACAGCCAGGACTGCGTGTGCATTTGTTCGACGGGTTCTGGTTGCCGACGGCATGACGTATTGAGCTGTCGTCACGTAAACCACTCGAGCTGAATACGGTAATTTTAACTCACAACAATGCACGCTTGGTATTATTATCCAGGTACACTTGAGAAAATGGAAGACATACACGACTAACGCGTCACCTATAGTAGACAAATACTCCAGTTGTAATGGCATGCCATACAGAGGTACACAGAGTGGAGCAGCGAATCTATGAACAAACATGGAGAATCCTCTCTTTTCATTCGTATATCCACGATTGAATTGAGACACAGAAAATATATTTCTGCAAAGCAACCAGAATATTGTGTATTACTGGTCTGAGCAACCACACAAATGATACCATAAGGGGGAAGGAATGACTTCTGTTGGAGACAAGATACACACGGAAACACGTCTTTTGGAAAACATTTGCACTCAGACCGTTATATGAAACACTCTCAATTTATGCCTCGAAAGGTTAGTGTGGGTCAATTCGTGTCCGAATTGTTAAAATTGCAATCTGTAACCCAGTACATGGAGGTAGGTATTCACGCGATATTTGGCAATTACGTAGGCACTTATATCTCTGCTGTGCAAGTTATATTCGAGGTATTGGTTAGGAAACGAGACACGTGACTGGAGTGCAAGATCGGATTTGTACGCATATTTGCAAGAGGCGAGTAGCAAAAATAAATACGTGCGGTGGAGGCGTTGAACAACAATACACGATACTGATTCAGCATTGACATGTTTGTGGTCAATACACCTGAAGTTGACCCTTGTATTGATTACTTTTGATAACACTTTATGCGACTAATGCGGAGTTTTGTTTGCGACAATTGGGACTTAAACTAAGACGGTATATGCTGTATATTAAAATTGTGATATAATAGGTTTCTACAACAAACATATGTTATTGTTTATTCCGTTCCTCGAACTGTCCATTTCCCGTGACAATCGAAACATACGTCAAATATATCATCAATTTCTTACTTTTTCATTTAAAGTGGATATTGATGAATTCACGGCACGCAACCGATGCTCAGTCGACACCTTTAGCATACTCGTACTAGTATAGTGAAC